CTGGATGTTAAATCTCTTTTTATCTGGGCGTTGGTTACTGGCCAGGAGGCGCTGTGATCTCTTGGTTCCTTTGGGGTTTTCTGATTGGTATGTAGATGGGTTTATCTCGATGGGTCTGTTGATGGCTGATTGGTAAGAAAACCACCAAGCTCAGAGAGCACCAAGGACCCCACAGCTCAACCTTGAGCTAGAAATATTCCCTTCTAACAGTACATTTCAATGTCCGTGGCAATCTGAACACACACACACACACACCCCTGTGAGGAGAAGGGGACAGACCTTCACTCTGCTTGACTGCTGGTTCAGAACTCCAACGGGTTAAGTCCAAACTCCTTTAGCGCGTTCTTATATCCAGTATGGATGAGGGCAGCCTCTTTCTCCCAGCCCAGCTTGGCGGCTTGTAGCTTGGAAAGCACCTGATCCAAGCTATCCTGTTCAAAGGAAGGGAGAACGGGGAGGTTGAGGGATTGGAGCACGGAAACAGGATGGTGGGCCCTGACTGAATGTCCAAAGGGAAGAGATAAAGATCCGTGCTGGTTTATTTGCAGTTGGGTTACCTGAGAATTTCCCCCTTCTGAAAATGTCTTGTGAGGTTTGGGAAAGCCAGAAGGGATCAATTGTGGTCCAAGCAGACAGGATGCCGAGTGATGGAAGGAAAGATCTGAATGGCACTGAATGCTTTTTCCAGGCATCAGGGTTGAAAGGGGGGGAAAAAAACCAAGCACAGACCAACAAACCAGTTTCTCTGCTTGATGAGAGGAAGAACGTTGCCCAATAATTTTGACTATCGTCACGCTCAACCTATCACCCATAGAAGCACGTACAGTGTTGAGCATAGTTGAACACAAGCAATCGTGGGAATATTCATCCTCCCTCTCTCTCTCTCTCTCTCTCTCTCCTGAAACTTTGGTAATAAGCAATGCTGAACATCTGATATCCACCCCCGATGTTCTTGGCTGGGGCCAGAATTGATGACCTTCCCATCCCTGACTCACGTGAAGGATTCGTTCCCATTCCTTCTCCATTTCCTCAGCCTTCTGCTGCATCTGAGCCTCAGCTCGCTCCTTCTCCTCCGAGATCTTGGCTCGCTCCTCTTCACTCCTCCGCAGGCTTTTTTGACAGGCAGCTGCCGAGGACAAATGAGATGGGTTGGGCATGGGTGGGGTGGGACAGAGATCGAGGCGAGAGAAAGCGGAAGAGAGCTGAGCCAATGGGTGGCTGGGGAATTCTGGGAGTTGAAGTCCAGACATGTTAAAAGTTGCTTAAGGTTGAGAGGCATCGCTCTAGTCCAAGGGTTGGCAATCTGTGGCTGTGGAGCCGCATGTGGCTCCTTCATCCTTCTGCTGCGGCTCCCTGTCCTCAGTTGGTTCCACAATTGACAAGGTTAGGACAGGTAGAGGAAAAAGGACACCACACTAGGAGGAGAGTCTATGGTGGGGAAACAAGACTTTGGTGGGTTCCAGAATTGAATGATAGGTTTCCAGTTAGGACCTTTGTGGCTCTTTGAGTGTTTAAGGTTGCCAACTCCTGCTCTAGTCAACTCCATCTATCTAGATGGTGTCCACACTGGGATCAAATGTTGGAGCAAGTTCTCAGGATATGACTGGCTGGGGAATTCTGGGCGTTGAAGCCCACACAACTTAAAGTTGTCAAGCTGAGAAACACTGCCCTTGGGACTTCAGGATTTGGAGGTGAGGGTAACCCAAGACTGGGGACCTTCAGAAATTTTGCAGATAACAATCATTTCCCTCATGTTGCTAAGAAGACTTGACAGGTGGAAATTAAATAATGTATGTACATATTTTTTTTTTTAAATGACCTGGTGTATTTTTTCAAATGGGGCAAAACCTGGACTTTATTCCTATGGATGTCATCCTAGTCTGATGCTCTCACCAATAATAATAATAATAATAATAATAATAATAATAATAATAATAATAA